ACAGGGCTGGTCACAGAGGACCTGATAGGAAACTGACAGCCCTACAGACAATAGCCAAAGGAGAGTTAGTAAAGAAATGATGTAAACTGAGAAAAATAGAAAAAAGATATAATGAACCACCACAGACCTAGATTTAACAATTATTAACATTTTAAACAAGGATTTATTACAAGTTTCCAGAATTAACTGAAAGAATTTTGTGACGTGTCCTGATAAACAACTCAACCTTTCTATCCCGGAATTGCAAAGGCTCTCCAAAGTTCTATGTTCTATTTCCTACTCTCAAGGCAAATCTGTCGCAAATATTCTTGTTTCTGAGGAGTAATTCCTAGAAATGCCAGTGAACTCTTCAACTCTTTTAAGCTTTAGATTATGGCGGAAATATTTTTGCCAAGTGACAGCTGACTCAATTTATGGACAGAAATACCATCCTAATCAACTGTTAGGCTGCCTAAGCTGACTTCTTTCTAAAGACTTGGCTCTTGAGCTGTCTAAAGTGGAATAACTTGTTTTGGGCTTCCTTTGCCCTACTTGTTCCCTTTGATTTGACATCCTCCTGAGGGACTCTGCCCACAGGTGTTCAGGGAGGCTGACTAGGCCCACTTTTCTCCTGTCTAGGGGCTGAACAGTACATTGTATAGACGCGGAGCACTTCCAGACTGTCTGGAATTTCTTAGGCTGCCATAAGACGGGTTAGTCTCTGGGGCTGCTGACAATGGGAAGGAAGATTTTTCTCCCCGCTGTCTATTTTTAAGCATTCTTGAAGCAATCACAATGATAGGCATGGGCTATTTTACTTCCTGACTTCTGATTTTGTGCTGATTTCCCTGGAGTATTGTTTTTTAAACAGCAGCATTTGGCAAAGTCTGTGAGAATTCTTGGATAATCTTTCCCAAGGAAAAGCAATGTCATTTCTTTGATACTCAGAACAATCTCCTTACAAGTCTTAGTGGACCCAGTTATGTGGCCTGCAGCAAACCTTCATCCTCGGTAATTTCCAATTTCAGAACGCACGTGTATATGGGGCAACTCTGTAAGTGTACATCCATAAGACAGGGCCCCAGACATGACTAGTAACTAAACTTCCCTCTCCGAGTGGCAAAAGTTATTCCGTCTCTCCTATTTTTTCAAACATCTACTTCCTTTAAAAACTGTAGACAGGCAATCCTCCCATCTCTGCACGCCATACCCTGTCTACCCTATTAACAGTCATGGCCTTTACACAACCGTCACATTTCACCTCCCAAGACTCCTCAATCCTCAGCCGTGAGCTTTCTGCCTCCACAACTCATTTGTCATGGAGTCCAGGCTGACTCACAGCCACCCCCTGTGGGTTTTAGAGACTAGCTGTTTATGGAAGTAGAAAACCTCATCTTTCTCCTATGGAGCTGATGGTAGTTTCAAACTGCTGACCATGAGCATCACAGGCCAGCTCAACCACCACACCACCAGGGCTCCTTTTCTGCCTCCACCACTGCCTTGAAATTGCTATGAGGCAAGGCTGCCCCATTATTGAGTCCACCGTTCTTTTTCAGGCCTTCTCAAAAGCTCTGAGCTCCTGGTATTCTTTGATTACCTCAGAGGTCCCTCAGACCCAAACATCTACAGAGTTTATTCCCTTTTTGCCCCCAAAGCCTTCTGCTCTATGATACCTCCAACTCACTGAGTCCCCCAAGATTGGACCTAGTCCGGACACCTTTTGTTCACTTGCTCCACAGCTGAAGACCGGAAAACCGAGCTCCTTTGTTTCATAGCTACCCATCTCTTTCTATCTCTGATCTGATGCCTCGGATATTTTTGTAGAATGGGGGGTGGGGGCACAAGGAGATGCTACATGCTAATTCGTATCGTACCTGATAAAATATTAACTGAATCTATAAAGAAGTCAGCACTTCTAAATGATTTTCTTTCTTGACATACGGACTTTTAAGAATTTGCTTTTCCTCTTTTAAGTCACTAAAATCTATGTGACTCACACAGTACCCCAAAGTAGCAAGTAACTAAATATAGCCGGCTGGCTTGAAAAATTTATGCACTAGGAGGTTTCTGAAATCAGGGGATTGTTTGGATTTTAGAATCCTCAAGAGATTCCTGATGTGATGAAAGTCTCCAGTGGAAATGTGTTGAAGCAATAAACAGCGATGTATGAATTTGGGTTCCTTGACAAGGTATTATTAATTAAAAATGATGTCTTCTCTCTGCGGAATTTCCCTTTTCTGAAACTTGTATAATGCCTGCAGACACATCTGATATTGCAAGTCTCTATACTCTGCTTTCTACAGATCTTTCTTCTCTGTGAAAAGAATACAGGCTTTATTTCAACTAATACTCCACCATGTGTATGTAAAGTGTAAGAATAAATATTTTATTCCCTTTAATATCCTCCATTATGTGCAAATTCTCTGACATATCACCTATTTACTACACAGTGAAGTGTGTTACATTTCTATTGATGGAAATGGTAGATTTGGCAGACTTATAACTTCTGATTCTAATGAATGCGAGTAATGGTCTAACCCAACTCTACTCTCTTAGAGACCAACATGAATTTGTCAGTGTAGGCAACTGAGCTATCACGAAGCGTGGAAGGTTTTCTTCACCCCACTCATCTTAGTCCTGCACGGCGCCTGAGTCGGAGTTGAGTTCTACCCGTGTCCTGGCATCACCCAGGACTACCCTGAGATTGTTGCGGGAATTGTAACTGCTCCTTGTCGTTGAGTTCTCTGCAGAGCAGGGGAGATTTGGGACTGCCATCCAGACACCTGCAGTGGGTGGTGATGGTCTAATAAGACAAGTATTTATTTAATCCAGTGCATTTAAAAATGTCAGCAGAATATTTTAGATGATAGAAATGTCCATTAAAAATCTTAAGCGCTGGTGGGGACTGAGCATGATAGTGGGACAGGAGGA